CCAACAAATGATGATGATTGTGATGAATCATTAACCATTTTAGATCATACAGGTGTACCAACGTTCGAATGTGCAATTTGTATGGAACAAGGACCACAAGTTCTTTGGTTAAGATCACCAATGAATATTGATGATACGACTAATGATTTTATTATTAATTTTCCATTACAACAAAATAATAAATTACATGATTGTATTGTTGCTAATCCAGTTTGTGGTTATTGTGCCAAAGCATATATTAATGCTACATTGACAAGTAATAATACATTGCAAACACTTTATCGTGAACTATGTTCAGGTTTTATTCCTCTTAATTGGTCAACAAAAACAAATCTAAAATATGCTAATTATATTCTTTATCGTACATTAACTGGAAATAAAATTCTTCATCATGTATCAATGTTACTTTTAGCTTTAGTTGATGATATGAAAATGAATTGGTTTAATGAACAAACAAAGATTTATTTCATTCGAGAATTAGTTAGTAATATTTAAACAACAGATTCATTTTCTGATCAAGGTACTCGAATGCCAATGATTGATGCGTTAAAATTAATTATTCAACAAGAAGATAAATTAATGCAACAACCATTTACTGCTGTTTGTCGAATCTTACATTTGAATTATTTATTTCATCAATTAGATCAAAATATAATTATTAATCTCGTCAGAAAACGTTTTCTATTGATGTGTATCGAAGCTCAATGTTCGAAAACTAAACTTGGTCCACAACATTTAATTATAATACGACAACAATTGTATGATATTATATTCGATACATTTTGTGATATTCCACAAAAAAATTCTTTCCGACCTGTAAATATTGATTATAAACAATTAAAAGAATTTTTAAGTACGTTCTATGAAAGTTTTATTTTGACTGTAAATAAACTTTCGATGGAAATTGGTGTTGATCATTCGAACATATTACCAGGTGAAATTGTCTCATTCATACTTCACCTTCTTACAACAATACCTATTCATGATCGACCAATGAAGTTATATACAGATTTTGCTTTAAAATATCGAGAAGTTCGTGAAAATATGCAAATTCAATGGCCTGATTTAATTAAAATGGTCGATAAACATGTTTTTGGTACGTATCATTCTCCATCTAAAATACTTTTAACCAGTTATGCAATTAATCTTGGTCGTTTTTCTTGTCCAAGTAAATTATTTTTTTTTACCGAACCTCTTTGGGATATGAATATGAATAATCAACGTATCAATTTGACAACATTGGCTAATCAACTGAAAGCAAAACTTGATCAAAAATTAACAGAATGGTATGGAAATTCAACTCCGAATGCATCTAGTGCACATACTATGCTACATAGTATTGTTGCTAGTGTTCTCGAAGAATATCATGATACAAATGCTGAAACAATTACTGCTCCGATGATCATGGATTGTATGATCAAAATTGGACAAACAGCGGGTAGAAAAGGCAACATTTATAGCGAACATGTTTTCCCTTTGGTCGTTTTGACTATCGAAGATTATTTGAAATTTCGTAAAACAACACCAAATATGACCATTGCCAGTAATAATATGAAATCACGTTCTTATGAATACAAAGTTCTTGCGGAATTATTGACCATTGGAATGAACTATGATAAGATAACAAATGAAATTGATTTCGATGAATCTCGTTTGAAAGTTCCACGTATCATCAATCTAACAGAGAGTAAACTCGATTTCAATGATTTGAAAAGAGAAGTACAAGAACTGTATCGAAAAACAAAAGCTATTGACAACAGCCTTGTGACTCAAACATGTCTCAATATTGAAATAAAAGATTTTGTCGAATTTGGCTACAAAATGGATGCCCAAACTCTACTACCTATATGGGAACTGTAAGTCAAATTTATTCATAATATACCATTGTTGAATGGTTTTTTTAGTGAACAAAAAAATATTGTTTCATCGATCGTAACCGATATTGATCAAATTGATCAACCGATCAGATATGTTGCCGGACTCGATATAAGTTTTGTTAAGACGAATGATAAAGCTGTAGCTGCTATGGTCATTTTCGATTATGAAACATTGAATATAGTAGCTAAAATTAGTATTAATTGTTATATGAAAATTCCATACATTCCAACGTATTTGGCGTTTCGTGAAGCACCTGTTTTTATGAAGTTAATCGATATTCTTAAAGAAAATTGTCCAGAATTGACACCACAAGTGATTCTTATCGATGGTAGTGGTGTTTGGCATCCGCGTCGAGCTGGTATCGCTTCACATTTCGGTGTACTCAGTGGAATTCCATGTTTTGGTGTAACAAAAAATGTTCTCAATGCTGATGGTATTACTTTTGAAATAGTCGAAGATTTACTTAAGAAACAAGCACCTGAAGAAAATCAATATGTTGAAATTATTGGTGACAGTGGTGCTGTTCTCGGTTTGGCATATAATATTACTGGTTTCGTCAAGAATGCGGTCTATATTAGTGCCGGACACAAGATTACGCTCAAAACAGCATGTGACATTTTCAAGAATGTCACCAAATATCGTATTACCGAACCGATTCGTCAAGCGGATCTTTTGAGTCGGGAACTTGTGGCCAAACTCGCCTAAATAAACATCATTTCTTTTCTTTGAGGTACACACACATTTTCTTTTTTGAAATATACAAAATAGTCTAATCTGAAAAACATTGCAAATGTTACAAAGTCAAATAAATACCAAGACAACAACTAAGGATAGAAGCAAACAGTATAGCATCGATGGAGAGGCACCGTAAATAAGAAAATATGTAATGGAAAAATAAGAAAAACAAGATTTTCTAGGAAAGTACATTTCAATTGACATGTTTTGAATATGTAATATGAAAACTACGTGGTTATTTATTACATGAGAAGGGCGTGGACGTGGGTTTGAGGAAAACCACACCCACTGACATCCACAT